TTCACATTCGTCATAGAATTTACGTAGAGTTTTAATATCATATGAATTTCTTACAGAATTAATTGATAAAAGTTTATTCATATGACTACTAATAATTAAATCTTGTCTACCAAATCTTTCGGTAAGCAACTTAATAGAAGACTCATAATTACTTTCAGTTAATGAGAATCCAGAAATTGCACTTAAAGCAACTTCCCCTAAATACATCTTAAGATAATTAAATTTATCAATTTTTTTAAGACTCTCATTACTATGTATAGCTATGTTATAGCTATTCCAGAAACTGTGCCACTCACAAGCATCACCAAAAAATTTGTTTATCTCCAATTTAGGTAATTTAACGTTAGCAACGTGCGAGATATTTCCATAAGTTATATTTTCTTGTAAATTATTGTTACCACTATTAACCGTTACTTCCTGTCTTGTACTCTGGCATTTCATTAAATATCTTTCAATTTTGCCTTTATAAGCCACTACTCGATCTTGATATTCTTGACTTTGTATAATTTCACTTTCTAAATCATCGCTTTTATCAAAATAATTTTCAATTTTCAAATCCAGATCCTTTAAAGTTTCGTTTTTTTCATTTAACTGATTTAGACAATCATACAAAGTATCATCAGGAAGTATTTCTAATAACAATTTGTCAATTTTAATTATTAATTTTGTAATCAGCTGTCTGATTACAGCTCTTTTGGACTTTAATTTTTCAAAATCATTATAAACAGCTCGCACGTTACTATAATAAATACAATACAATTAAAACAATAAAATATTAAAATAAATTACCGACTTAAGGGAGACCAAAACAAAACAAATGTTAACTTACATTTCATGCAGGTGGCCTATTTTTCGGCCGGTGTAGCACCATGTTTCGAATTCAACAATAATTACACAAATTGTAATATTTAAAAGGATTTTATTTCATTGTGGTTCAGTGGTTAAATCCAAACTAAAACTTAAGAAGTGAAGAAAAAATAATAAAAAAAGTTGTTTGCGCTCAGCGCCATCTGTTATTATAAATCCTCAACAATGATAACTTATTGTAATTAGGATTTCTTGTAATCTTACTTTACGATTACAAGTAGTCACGATGGCTTGCAATCCCAGGACTTGATTATTTGTAATTCTGATTATCTGCAATCACTTTTTGTTGTGATTATAAATAATCATAACCACTTGTAATGAGAAATAATAATTATTTGTTACTGTAATAACTTGTAATCATAATCATAGCAAGTAGTTAATTGCTAAACAATCATTATCTATAATTAATTACATTTGCGATCGATTGCTGTAATCAGGGCCGGATTATTCTATAGGCACACCAGGCACGTGCCTAGGGCCTACGAAAAACT